TATTAATTTTTATCGTACAGTACGTGACCGTTATTCCTATCTCTGTGTGTGACTATAACAACTTTATCTTTGTTACAAGATTACATTTAGATGTACGATTTAACCCATATAATACCAACAACTCTAAACGTTCGAATTTTTTGACGAAATTTTGTTTCCGAAGCACTAAGACACCAACTCCGACGATGCAATAATAATTTTGAAAAAATTTATATTTTTAATAGCTTTTTCGACCCGTACTTTTAAAAGGTCATTGTTGGAGCTTACTTTTTTGGAAAATTGTATCGTACTTTTAAAAGTACATCATATTTGAATGATGTACTTTTAAAAGTACGGGTTTAATAAATAATGTACTTTTAAAAGTACGGGTTTAATGAATAGTGTACTTTTGGAGGTACATTAGTTAATTAAATAGAAACTCAGGGTCAGATAATAAAACTAAAAGCCTTTGTCAGAATGGCTGAATAAAATTTAAACAATACCATACAAAATTTAAGTGGTACACTGAATAAATCATGATGGTGGGAACAGCTATACTTATAAACTACTATCACAATTCCATTTACCAGTTAACTATCAATTTTACTAAAATTGTCAGGTTTTGTGCTTTTTACTCTAACTGATGATAAGGCTTAAAACAAAGCACACAAAGTGCAACGTCACACACTTCGCACTTATAGTTGCTGCGACCTTTGCAGCCATTCAAAGCACATCGTCTCTGCTTTGTTTTTACTGGCCAGTGAGTGTTAGTTCTACTCTCCAGGCGGACCTCTGGGGTAACTCTGTTGTCACCCTTCCACACTGCAACTCTTTGGCATAGCGATGATGGGGGCTGCAATCTCTTCTTCAGGTAGGCTATTGTTATTCGTCGAATGAAGTTCAGATATGTCAGTTTCGTCTTTTCATTCGAATGACATATCTCATACAAAGAATATGATGCAGCTTTCAGGCAATCAAGCGTATTTATTAGGTGTGGCCACCACCACTTTTTTCCCCTTAGAGAGATTCTGTAGCTAGCAACATGGCCATCAAACACATCAACGTTACCCATTCCCTTGTTATACTCCTTGACAAGAGATGGCCGTTTGATTTGAATCTTCTTCTTTTCTGCTTGACTGTACCGTTCCACATCTGTGATAGGATTAACAGTAAAGATGTTGGAACCAACATTCACGACGCTATTGTCATGCCATTTTACAATGGTCACCCCTGTAAACTCGTCAATTCCCTTTGAAAAGCTCCCACGCCCTTCTTTCTTAAGTGCAGAATCAGTCTTGGTGGGGCAGCTATTTGTTCTCTGACTTTGAATAGTACAAGATGCTCCAAGCTCCATGGCAGAGAATATGGCCAACAGCTTATAGCTGGCAAACCAATTGTCATAAAAGACGTTACTTTCTTTGGGTTCAAGAATCTCCATGGCCAGTTGTAAGGTAACCCGACTGGTGAGGTTCTTTCCGGGATCTCCGCCAATTCCTTTCTTACCACAGTAAGGGAGGCAGTGGTACGGGAATCCCGATGAGCCAACCAGCCAAAAGTTTTTATAGCCAAATCGGATACTCTTATCCTTCATGCGTTGTTTAGCGCTTTTCATCCCGGTGTAAGGGACCATCTGCTCGTCAATACTAAACGTATTATCAAGGTTCTTGAACTTAGCCAGACTTTGATTCATGATATCGTAGAGAGGTCTTACCTTCCAATACTTATCTGTGGTGTCCACATCTCGATTGTCCACGCAATGAATGTACTTCTTCAGCAAATTATATCGGTTCCTTGATATGGCATCAGTAACCACACTCACATTAGTATCAACATTTGAATCCCAATAGAGGTGTGCTTGAGGTAACTTGTGATAGCCCGACAAAAGCAAAACCCCGATAAACGTTTTAATTTCATCTTTGTTTGTCTTGAAGGTTAAATCGCCAAATCGGCTATGAGCATAACGCTCCGACTCTGTGATAATTTGGGTTAACAAACTGTTTTCGGGGTCATCTACAAGTTTCTCGAAAATTTCATGAGGTAGCAAACCACCGAAATCTTGGATCAGTTTTGATCTATTAGCAATAACCTTCTCACTATATGATTGGCGAGGTGAAAGATTTGGAGCTTGAGCAGAGTCGGCAACCCACTTACACGAGTTATTAATCTTCGGGCAGAGTCCTAAAAGTTTATTGATCTTCTCAGATGTATCTGTTGATGTGTCTTCGACAATATTTTGAACTTCTGATCGAAAAGCGACTATGTCTGGATACTTATTATTAACTTCGTGTAATAGGGGCAGGGTTCGTCAATTGTTCTGTGTCCAATTCATTATCTGACTCTTCTCCTACAAAATGTAGCTCATAGGTTCCAGCAGTATCTTTTACCGCCGACAAGGGGAGATTGTCACCATCATTGTCATCGATCATTTCCGTATCACTCTCAACACCATCCGGAAGAAGGATGACAACATCTATCTCATTCGAAGACACTGTGGTTGCCAGCTCTAGAGCTTCGTCCAGCGTTCTCAAGTTATTATGCAAAGAAGTTTGTTCTTCTCGAACATTAATACGGACATTTTTCTGTTTCTTCGCTTTATTTTTGGTCTTCGTGTTGCTTCGAGCTGATTGTCTGGATCCTGTTAACTCCTTCACATCTTTTTCTAGAATTTCTCTCTTAACTTCAGCCATCTTCTTTGATTTTGGGGATTTAGTCGATCTTGAAGGATCCACTTTTTCACCCGGTTGTTCCACGTCTTCCAGAGCGGCCTCTACTTCAATGTACTCTTTCTTAATGTTTACAATCCTAGATCTTGTAACTGGTTTCCGATGTATGTTTACTATTGAATACTGACATGATTGGCTGCCATCAGCAATCTGCTGTTCCAACGTAAGATTCCTTTCCTCTTGTAGTCTATGCATTTCCTCAGCTGCGTTGTTCTGCTCCTCTAGAATTGTCTCAGCCTCTGCTACTCTCTTCTGTTCCTCTAGAACTCGCTCAGCTTCTGCAAATCTCTTCTGCTCCTCTAGAATTGTCTCAACCTCTGCTACTCTCTTCTGTTCCTCTAGAACTCTCTCAGCTTCTGCTACTCTGTTCTGTTCCTCTAGAACTCTCTCAGCTTCTGCTACTCTCTTCTGTTCCTCTAGAACTCTCTCAGCTTCTGCTACTCTCTTCTGTTCCTCTAGAACTCCCTCAACCTCTGCTACTCTCTTCTGTTCCTCTAGAACTCTCTCAGCTTCTGCTACTCTCTTCTGTTCCTCTAGAACTCTATCAGTTTCTGCTACTCTCTTCTGTTCCTCTAGAACTTTCACAGCTTCTGCTACTCTGTTCTGTTCCTCTAGAACTCTATCAGCTTCTGCTACTCTGTTCTGTTCCTCTAGAACTCTCTCAGCTTCTGCTACTCTCTTCTGTTCCTCTAGAGCTCTCTCAGCTTCTGCTACTCTCTTCTGTTCCTCTAGAAATCTCTCAGCTTCTGCTACTCTCTTCTGTTCCTCTAGAACTCTCTCAGCTTCTGCCACTCTCTTCTGTTCCTCTAGAACTCTCTCAGCTTCTGCTACTCCCTTCTCATTCTCACCATTTTCGGTATTCTTTAAGTTGTGAAAAGCTTCTGGGAGCTTTAGGGTTTGTTTGTGGACATCTAGCATTCTCTTACATTCCACAAACTGAATCTTGATCCCTCCTGATCCTCCTCTATAAATCTTCAGTACTCGAGCCGGCTCCCACTGTCTCCCCCATTCTTTGTAAACAAGATCGCCTACGTCGAATTTATGGTCCTGGTGTAGTTGAGTATTAGCCATTTAATAAATAAGTTCATCAATGTGAAAATGCCTATAATTGGATTGTATCTCATGATGACAGATGTAGAGAAGTAATATTATATAGCATAACAGTAGTGTATAACACACCAGGGTCGCATCTTTCTCAGGGCTCCTCTTTCTCCTCCTCCTTTTCGCTGTATCTGACAAATCCATGTACACGTCCTGTTCTTAGCTAAGAAATGAACTAAGAATATACTAAGAAAAGAAAAATTACAATAAGAAAAGAAAATACTAAGCTAAGAAATGTTAGTCAATAAACCAGCAAAAGGCGTTACAACAAAATCGATATTTCATGCCCCACGGAGAGCACTGCTGACAGTCTAATAAATTGAGACCGAAGTTTATTATAACTTTATAAACTGCACCAAATGAAACTGAAAGCTTATAATATAAAGACGTAATAAATATAAATGATATCAGATTAACACATTGCATAAGGAGACCTCACACTATAATTACATGAAGTGATAGTCAACTGTGAAATTATGCCAGTGCTGGCGAATCAGAGCGGAAAATTTCTGTTGTGACTTCCGTTCTGATTCAGAACAATTTACCTGCCATGACAGTCTTACCGGCATTAATTAAGCCAGCAGACATTGTGTAGTCTATATAATTATAAACCTGTACTTTTAAAAGTACATTTTTCGTGAAACCTGTCCTTTTAAAAGTACATCATACAAAGATATTGAACTTTTAAAAGTACGTACTTTTAAAAGTACATCACTGTCTAGAATGATGTACTTTTAAAAGTACACCCAATTTACATCTCAATTAGAGGCAATTTATGATTTTTATGTCGCTCCACATTATTGCCTATTTATTGCATAATCGTTTAGGCAATATTAAAAAACCAAATTTGGGATCCATCAAAGTTGGAGAATTGGCTGGTGGTACCGAAAATTTACCATTTTTGAAAGTACCATTTTTGACCACCTTTGCCAACATCCTGTAAATCTCTTGCTTTTGTTAACCATCTGGTCAGGGTGCTAAAATAATCAGCAGACCTTTTTTAACCTAATGCAAAAAACTGCATCAAAAAATATTTGTCACGAGACAAGTTAGGTCACTGTTTATGAACCGTACTTTTAAAAGTACCGTGGAAGAATATGGGTTAAAGCTGATTCTTATCTTGTTCTATAGTTTCTAATTGTGAACTTCTTATTAATATTCTCTAAACTAAGTTTAAATCTGACGAGACGAACTAACCGATTTATGATCATTGGTCAGAGCAGTTTCGTAGCAGGTCGTTGCTATAGAGATAGCTTGTTTGTGTTTGTTGGAGAGCTTCAGGACTGGTTGAACGTGGGTCGAGGATGTTGTTGGGGTGAAAAATCTGGGGAGTTTACTTTTATCAGTCTACAGTTACTTTACACTTTTACTTGTACTTAATACTTTACATTTTACGGTACCATTCTTGAGGTATCTTCAATTCTCAGAACTCCTTCGCGACAAGGACGTTATCATTTATTAGTCATTAAAAAAGCTCATCCGCGTGTACAAAATTAGGTCATAAACAAAAACATGCTGTAATAATTGAGTACATAATGAGGTCATGGGTTATAAAAAAGTCTTCAAAGTTGGAACAATTAATCAGGTTAGAAGTAAGGATGGTGAGGTTAATTAGGTTAAACTATCAAATCACGTACATATCCGCAATGAGGTCGTCCAGAGTTGGGATACCATCTCGCTGGGCCGAGGTAGACAGAATACTCTCCAGTATAGTTCCTGAGGGGGTAGAAAACTGTTACATTCGAGCTGTGTTTACCAAAATGTCATCAAAAGCAAAAAATGAGCGATGGGTTTCACCTGACCGAAGCGTGAAAGTGAAACACTAACGTATAGCAGGCGGGATGGTGGCTGGAATCATGTCTGTAGTCGGGGTTTGTTGTACAGTTCCAGTCGACATTTCGTATAAAACCAGCCCGAAATTATAAACGTCAGCGTCCAACGTTGTCTGAAGATAAGCAGTTAGCAGTTTAAAAAAGAATTGAGGGACTTCTCCCAATTATGAAGTCAAGTTATTTCAATCGTGCCTGGTACCAAGAGAATGATCATAAAACTAAAAGTTTTCTATGATTAACCGAAATGTCAGTAGAAACTAGAAAACGATACGATAATTCCCTCAGGTGTCCAACCGACAAATTATAAGCCCCATTCTGCCGTCTTGAGGGCTCTCTTTTAATTTTCGGCATTATGTGGTAAACCGTTAAAATGTCAAGATTTTCGTTTTGCCACGCGATTGCCCTTGCTTAGAGTTGGGACTTACAACATTTTATTTGTTTTGACACGTGTTCCATTCTGTCTGGTCTCAATGAGAAAGCAGTTTATTGAATTTCGGGCTTATTTCAAAACGAGGGATTTGTCATTTTGATGATCTTCTATATTGTGATCTTATGGGTTGCAGGTAGGGATGTTAAAAGTACGTTCAACTAAAGACTTCATATGGGCGGGGTTGAAAAGTAACATTGTTAAAAGATCCTTTGTGTTTTACTGAGCTCAGTATTGTTTTGCTAAGTCTTTCCAAAACGTTAGGATATTTTTGTCCGTAATGTTATATCATAATCCTGAAATAGAAGATCTATTCCCGGATACACTAGCGTTGCCGTTACACAAATAGACGTTCGAATGATCCCTGAAAAGTAAATCTATTCCCGGAAATACCATGAACGATACGCAAATAAACGTCCGAAACCGTGAACAATCGAGCGGATAATCATATCCTACCCCTAAGAATATTAACATATTCCGTAATTCTTAGGTTGTGGAGGCAATTATGGTTGTTAGTCACTAGGCTAAACCTAGGCGAGTCTCAGGCTCTTAGGAATTTAGGCTTCACCCGGAAAAGGAAGGTGGGTATGGGAATCCTTAAAATATGTTGAAAGATTATTTGGCACTTCCTTGAGCATCGAGCACAGATAAGGGTTTTACATCAATATTTAACCGTTGATAAGCCGATGTCGCACTTCCTAGTTTATTACTAATTGGTTTTTCAGTTAGTCTTATCTCGTTTATTGTTACTTTTATGTAAATTGATGCACAGTGAGTGTATAAGATCGTGTAACCGTGTGGGAGAGCGTCACAGTTTGTCTCACTGTTCCTGATAATGCTGTCAAACTGTTCACATTACTCCAAACTCTCCTCCTTGGGTTTCAGCCTCTGATTCACACCACGTATTACAACGGTAATGACGCTGACCTTAGATTTCTCAGATTTTTCCAGGCCTTTGTCGTTCAGCACCGGGTAATATGACACTTCCTTGTTGTTGGAACCGCGAGTTCTCACATTCCGCGGAATTCCGTTCTCATTTTCTTGTTTTGGTTCCCAGAAGGGGGTTGTGATGACGTTGTCAGCCATTTTGTAACGGGTTTTCAGGCTGGCGTTAGTGTTGAGTGTATTTTGTAGGTGTTGTTTATTGTGACAGGTGTACTTGTAGACTGTTCTTAGATTCAGATATTTGATAATTAAAGTAACAGATGATTGGTCAGGGTTCTAATTTTCCAATTAGAGTGACTCATTCGGAACTATGTTCCATTTATTAGTATAACCTTTGGAGATGGTTCCGTACCTTGATTCCTCCGTGTTGCACGTGCAAATTCCGATGTCTGCTCGGCAGACCAAGCAAGAAATTCTCGATGTCTGATAACTTGTAGATGTTACCTGAAAATAAAGTCATAATTTTTTATAAAACTTCATAGCCTGATCATTCCTTTCTCAAAGGTTATACCTTTAATGATAGTAAATGTAATAACTTGAGCATACAGCCGATCAATTCCTTTAATTTGTCTCTGAAAATGTCGGCCGTTTTTTAAGATTTCCGGGAAATAGCAAAGACTCCCTCCTCTTCATATATCATTTCCACGTACCGTTTGAAGTAGTGTCGACCATAATGTTTCCTGAATGAAGGTGTCCGTAAGGCAAACCTCGGTCCTGAATAAATTATTAGTTATCAAATTGAATGATCAAAGATTTTACCGGTAATCCCAAATCAAAGTGGCATATCTATTTAAGTTGCTCTCTCAATATTCTTAAATAATTATCGCTGATAGGACTAACCTGTAAGAATACAAGAGCTTCCAGAAGATTTCTGCCAGCTACAGCAATCTCATTTTCCGGTAGAATAGTTCCTAGAGGAGAGGTCGTATATTGCAACTATTCGAATTTCAGAAACGAAGGTGTGCACGGGGTTAAACGTTTGAAGAATAAATATCATGGTTTCGTTAAATATAGAATCATAATCGCGATAACAGCACTGCTTCAACTTCCGAATCATCACAGTTAAGTACGTATTTAACATTTAACCACTCACTTTGGCCCATATATTTCTTGAAGAACGGTGATTTGGGTTTAGCAGCGCAGAGGATGTCTCTGAGAGAACCGGCTGTGTGAAACGGCCGTGAAACATGAACTCCACTCTGGTTAAACGCTGCCATCGTCACTGAAACGTTGTCCAATCACAAACTAGCAATCACTACACGTGACCTATAAGATTCAGACGCGAGTCAACTATTTTGCATCGTACTGTAATAGAAAGTCGCGCTGTAGTTTTAACTTATAATAAAAGTTTAAAGGGCTAATTGCTCCATATACTTCTGGTTCTCAACCCGCGCTCTCCGCCTGCTTGCTTGGTCTTAAAACTATATGTTAATTTGTTCTGAGCAGTGTCCCCCTCGTACCTTCGACATATCTAATAATCTGCTGCAATACGTGAGATATCTAAATAGCATAAATACCAAGACATCATTTAAAAGCATTTAGATTATTTCCAAGAATAATATGTTGCATAATCATTTAAAATCCGTTCTTAGCTTATTTACAAAGATAAATGCTCCTTGAATGAATTATACCTAGAGTAATATGAAAAGAAACGCCCCTTTTTAAAACATACCAGGTGTGATATAGGGATGTTGAACAGTCGTCAGCAGTTTAGTGAGAGAGGACATTTCTTTTCCGCTAAAACTGTAGTAAGGGCCTATCTCCGTCTGTGGGGAGGAAATGATCAGTCGTCTATTATTATCCACAATATTCCTTCATAATTATCTTAATAATAGTGTTTAGATAGCAGGTAATTCTGTGCGCGTTCTGCACCTGTTGTTATGCTACAGATCTTTGATATAATACCCGGTATTGTTCGGTACCATTACATGTACTGTGTGCGTTCTTTTCGACCATTTTATTATTCGCCCTGAACAGTTGTAGAGTAATGTTCGTGATATGCGTTATCAGTTTAATCAGTTATTTGTCACGTAAGAGATAAAGCAATTATAAGGTTCTTTGGAATGACGTTGGTATGAGGTAGCAGGAACCGAAAGCTCTCGTACCTGCTAATCATTATTCATTACTGCTTTCGCAATTTCATTACTCAGCTATTTTTACATCCTCGCACTTCCTTGATCCGGCTATTGTGGAGTTAAATCTAATAACAATATCATTACTGCCGCGCTAAACTCTATTTGTGTCCGCCCGAACTCAAACAATTCCTCACTGCACCAGGAAAATCATTTCCACGGAGTGATAAAACTGGTGACTGGTCTATATATAGCGTGTTATCATCTGAAAATTCTTGCCATATTTCCTATTATAACGGGCCTGGCTAGCGTCATGATGATCTCATGATCGGACCTCAGCACTGTCGTACACGTATGACTAGCCTAGGACAGCGCTCCAAGTTGTAGTTCAGTCTGGTTCTGCTGGAAATCTGTGAACGTCTGATATAGACTTTTCCGGGAGGTTGAGACATACTTAACGAGTTTTGCTCATTTCCGTTCAGTCATTTTAGCTTTGATGTGCTCTGATTTTTTTGTACTAATGTATTTTGTTAGTTCAGTTCGTATACTACATGTTGGATATTTACTTTCGCTATCATCACAGAATATTGCTGCTCATGTCTTACATACAGTTGCTTCCCAAACCAGACGTGGTTTACTTTGAAAAATCCCGACAGTTAACTCCATGCTTCATTACAGTTGTCATAAACTGAGTATGGAAGTAAAACCCTTGCGGCGGGTAGAGTTGTCAACCACTTACTTAGGGGTTGCACGGGTACTTGAGAGAGAAAGCACCAAAATATAGGCCCCCTACATCACACGCTCTGAGCTTTTGATGAGATTCAACCATTTGGAATTGGACGTTGTCATGTTTCCTGGCACCACTTTAACTCGAATTAAAAGTCCTTAATCCCATAACTGTCCAATGACAGCATTTTATCCGGAGTGCAAGGCAAGGATAGCCAATCAGAGGTCGTCACGTTCCCTCGACCAATCAGAGCAGACTGCGTGTCCCACGTGAATCTCGGTAACCATTAGCAACGGTGGGCCCATCACCAGCAACAGGTGCTATAAACCAGAGTATATCAGGGCAATCATACCATATAAGGGCATAATGTAGTGAGGCAGCCTAGCATTAATAAGAAACATAGAGAGGGAGAGACTTGGCACATATTTCCTTGTAGCCGACTTCCTTTATCGTGAGGATGCTGAGTGCTCTCTCCACTCCTTTCCCATGTGGTGAGGTCACGCAGGGAATGTTTCAATTCTCAGCCATTACCTACGCCGCACAAACCAGTCACATCTTGTTTCTTGTTTTGTGATTAAGTTGATCCTGTGATCTCCGAGTTATCGTCTCGTTTTCCCTTTCCCGTCACCTTAAAACTGCAGCTGCTTCATACTTGGCACCTCAGACGGGGAAGTTTGCTAGAAGTGAGGGAGGGCAGGAAATACTTCCTACGAGGACCAATGCCCGTCCAGGATCTCCTCAGACAGGAAATATAGAAGTTAAAACTGCAAGTGCACTTGTCAATCGTCGCTTTTGCCGCTGTTATTGTACTACATGTATTATTATATATTATAACTGGTCCCATTTCATGCGCGACGTTCTTGACATAAATAATAATTTTACTGTCAATGTCATATCAAGTGATCCCAGCATTTTACGGTGTCCCCAGTCTTTTTGACAGTTAACTCAACTTTCAGCTGGTCAAGTGGAGAGCGAGACTTCACACGGTAAATTCGGGGCATTGCTTGACACATTCGTTACTTGTTTTTCCACGAGTCATTTCTGTTATTTGAAATTTGCTGCCGTTTCTTGTTTCCCCTTTCCTGTATTAGCTGCTGCGATGAAACTAGTAATGCGAGTAAAAGTTCAGTGTCACGTGATCACTTTAAAAGTCACGTGAAACAAGGACATCGTGTCAGGTGACCAGGATATCATCAAGCATTTCTCGGCTTCCTCTCCGAGCTATCCCTGACGTAGTCCCACACGGTCACCTGACTTAAATCCTGCCTTTTCATTGGTCCACGCCAGATTCTCTTCACTCCCATTGGTCGCCGCACCAATCGGATTTTGCCATGCATGACAGCACTCTTTCCTCCTGACCAGGTGACACAAACACTCCACTCCGATTGGTTGTTTACTGAAACTCGACGCGTTCATTGGTCGGCGGTGAGGTCAGCATGCTGTACGTTGAAGGCAAGCCTGCTTGTCGACCCTCTATACGTCCTGTCGCTCTCACCACGAGAGAAAAGAGGCGTGTTCCTTCACTAGCTCGGAGCTTCTAGGAAGTTGTCATTCTGCATCTGCTTGCTGCTTACGTTCTCTTATCATACGTGCACTTGTTTTTATTTTGCGTTAGACACGTTTAATCTTGCAGTCACTTTCGTGGGAACAGAGAAGTGGCCTTGGTTTGCACCGCGCCTGCGGGGATCCGTGATATTGATGAGACTATTTTCCAATTATTCTAGAATAGTATTTTTCAGTTCGCATGATCGCTATCTTAAAACATGACGTTTTTGTGCAGCTTTATATTTCCCGGTTTCTAACTCGGTGCGGAGTTGTTAATCGGATTAAGCAGAATAGGTTACAATCTCCGGACGCTAAGTGCAGTCTGCAGTCTGCAAGCCTAAACCTACTGTGTATAAAGATTTGTTTACGTAATGTTTTCGGTTTTGGGTTGGCATTGCGGTCCCCAGCAATACCATAATCTCATTTACCTTGTAAGTTTCTTATCACCTGTAAACACCACGAAATACAAATCAGTATCCATGACCTAACCAAATCTCTTTCTTTTAGGCTCACATGACGCAATTAGTGAAAACAGAACCAGGGTCGACCCTGCCGAGTCTCATTAAATCCGAACCAGACTTAGCCAACACTTTGTCTGACGATGCCATCAGTTCCCTGCTCAAGACACTAATGACCCTTAACCCGGCCGTTAAATCCAACCTAATTCAGTCCATACTCTCAGCTGGGGCTGGTCCAGATTTCAACTCTGACGCTGGGTATAACATTTCGTCGCCCCTTACTTCCCAGCCTCCTGTAACCATGGCAACCACCACTCCGACAAAGATAATCCCAGCTCTGAGAATGCCAATCCCCTCCTCCAGCCCTGTTCTGGTGCCTACTTCCATGTTGGGTCACAGGTCGGTGGGTAACATGATCTCTACCTCCCACAACCCCTACATGTCATCCCCAACCCTTCAGATCCACAACTCTCACATTGTAAACGTCTCCAGCCCTTCTAACCAGCCTCTCTCTACCTCTCTACCTCAGCTTATACCCGTCACATCAGATTTCAGTTCGCTGGTCGCCGCCCCAGCTTCAACCTCAGTCATGAACAGTGGTAACCACACCTCCGGTAACCATGGCAACTATACCTCAGTGTATTCAGACTACAGAACGACACCAGTGTGTACCAGTCAGATCAGCATGGTTTCAAATATCTTGAACAACAACTCCTTTATTACTACTAATGTAAGTTTTATGATTATGATAAGTTCGCACGTCTTTAAATATATTCGATCCGCAGAATTCGCAAGTCTTTAAATTTATTTCATCTGCAGAAATTTCGCGTAGCATTAGCAGTTAGTGCACTTTTCTGTAATTAGATCCTGTAATCAGACTTTTTTAGTCACGGAAATAATAAATTACGCTTGAATAAACACACTGAAATATAAAGATTTAGATTAAATTAACATGATTTTATCCCCAGTCGAGTCAGCAGCTCCAGACCTCCCCAATTGATCGCAGTTCTACAGATTCAGAAGAGTTGAACATGCAAGCCAGGTAAGAAGCCAAGTATTTGTCTCCTGTATTTGCTCTCTGTATTTACTCTCTGCTCAAGTTCTAGCACCCACATTGTCACTTAGTATATAACGTTCTGTCACTAAACCACAGTCTAGCGCCGTCCGTAATTACAACAATTTCGCCCTTTCATACAGGTCCATTATCTTTAACAAGGTTCACATTCAACGTGTTTAAGGTCCACATGAGGGGGGCTAACTATTGAATAATTCAAACTTTCTTCTTAATATCCACACTCACAACGCTCCTCCTGCTCAATGGTCGAACAATTTGTTTCTTACTTAAACAATGGTCTGTCTATTTTTGGAACATTGAGCACACGTAACGACACATAACCATAAATAAGCTCCATGTAGCTGTTTATATTGTCCAAGTGGCGGCGCTGACCGACTACTACCCTCACAGGAAACTAGCCGACCAGCTGGCAGCAGTCAGATCCCGACTACTTCTCAGCAGTTTCGAGACATCCGGCACTAACAACCAGTACCTCTCTCAGCTCGTCAAGCTTGGTAAGTTTTAATATAAATTGTCCCTTTGTCTATTACGTGTCGCTCTATTAATTAGTTACATAGTACATTGCTGCAATACCATGCTGGCACGGGGCACGATGTGGGAGTTTGAGATGAGCATTGAGCTGCTACCATTCAATCAATGATTGTATTAAAAGTGTTCTCCTTACTCGACCCCTCATTACACAACCCATCATTACGCAACCCGTCAATAGTCAATACCTGGCCCCTAATCCTATCTTATTACAGAGCAGCTGATCCACGTGTTACAAGAAGCCGTGGCACAGCGCCAAGTGCGCGCAGTGCAACCCAGCATAATCCTGGGAGGAGCGCGCTGTGCAGAGGAACAGACAGGGAACTTCAACATGTACCAGTCAGGGTATGATGGTGTAGGAGTCAAGAGGAAGACCAGTCCTAAGGCTCAGCCGAAATCGGGCAAGAAGATTAAACACTCTGGAGGTGTGTATTTTACGTTTTCTTGAGAAATGTGTTTCGTTCCTATTTAGTTCTCCAGAAATACTGATTGGATTGGATTGACAAATAAAGATTTCCTGTTTGGATTTTATTCCGCAGAAAGAGAAACACGTGAGAATGAAACGTTTAATGATCGAATTTTTCAGGAAGTCACGGTATCCAGTTGTGGCAGTTCATTCTGGAGCTTCTCGGGGACAGAGAACAACGCCCAGTCCTAGCCTGGACAGGAAACGGACTCGAATTCAGAATCATCAACTCCGTCGAGCTGGCCAGACTTTGGGGGATCCGAAAACGTAACCCTATCATGAACTTCGACAAACTCTCCCGAGCCTTGAGGTACTACTACGAGAAGAACATTATCAAGCATAACCCCATGCATAGACTAGTGTATAGTTTCTGTAATAATCCCGATGATGTGGTCTACAATGCCCTGTTGAACCGAGCCTTGTCAACGTGCCCGATCGACCCGGAGATGGCAAAACAGCAGGTCGGTACCTCTCCATATCAGTGGCAGGACAATCTTAACAAAGTGCCCAGTTCCATTAAAGTTACCTTGCAGGCTGTCAGAAATAAAATGAGTGGTATGGTTGAAGAAGAGAAGTTTCCTCTATCAGTTAATAATAGTTAAAGAAACATTGTTTGAGTTTATTTGAAGTTGTTAGAAATTGTTTAGAAATTGTTAATATTATCAGTAATCTAATCTCTATTTGATGCATGTGCTAATAATACTGTTGAAAATTTGTTGAAATGATATAATGAGTTTTATGCTTTTCTTCGTTAGTCAATAGAACGTGACTCTGATTAGCAAACCCGGAAGGAAAGCAACCTAAATGACTTAATTAAGACTGTCAAAGCCCACCATATCCGGTTACGCGTAAAATCGATATCCGAATTTCGAAACAATTAAAACCCAAATCAGACTAACCTGGACTAAACTGTAATTTAATCATGTCTCAAGATTAGAAATATAAAGCCGTAGTCGCTACATAACTTAAGAATTGCACCTATTCCTAGTTAAAGTATTATTACAATCGACCCGGACTAAATTTCTGCTGATATTTTCTAATGAGATTATAATTGCCGCCAGACACAGAAATTAATGTTACGTTTATTGATGTGAAATAAATGTGTTAGGGGTCGTTCACATTTTACGTAATCAATATTTTGCCAATTTTAAATCCCCCTCCATAATCAGTTTTACACACAGTCTTCCTACATAACACATCACAAGTGCAGTCACGAACAGTTGTCAGTTTCCCAGCAATTTCCTATTGTTCTTCCAAATATCGGAAAATTTTGGTTATATTTTAGCGTTTATACCAATTCCATTATTGGATTGCCCCTCCAACCTACCACAACTATTGTCAATTGTGTAGGTCAGGCAACGTCACACAGTAATGGACATCGGCTAATTAGATGATGTTTGGCCAACTGTCACTAACGAATTACGAAACATCAGCATTCAAAATACATGGCTTCACCTCGAAAGTCCCAATCATTATCCGTAACCAAATCCCTTCGATCAGCCAAAAGACGTTATTTATTGGGATAATGACATTCCTACCTGACGTATGAAAATAAACCCAGGCTCACATCCATGTATATTTATTATATTTATTTATAGGCAACGCGCGCGAATTATTTGGTCGTGCGCGCCGAAGACTTGATACCATTTATTCAGCGCGTTACATCGAATTATTATGTAGACCTTTTCAGTTCTCGAGGAAATGGCAGTTGTTTTGATCCAGGTTAACTTGGACTGTGTACTATGTGCATTGCATGCTGGTCTACATTATTGCCTGAGCGTCAGGATGTCCTCTAGCTCCACAATATAAAATCGAACATATCAAGTAGGAAGTGGAACGCTTCAATAAAAGCCACGTTTCTGATTTCTCTTCACTTATATTTTGGAGCCAATTGTGCTGCCGTTTTGAAACCGCTAGGAAGAAAATTACAACATCAATATGTTGACACGATGTACACTATCTTAGATGGTGCACCAGAAAACCACACGATTTAAACAGCTCAGAAACTTATAACTCACTTATAACTCACTTATAATTCACTATAACTCACCTATAGCTATAACTCACCTATAACTCACCTATAACTCACTTATAACTCACTTACAACTCACTTATAACTCACTTATAATTCACTATAACTCACCTATAACTCACCTATAACTCACTTATAACTCACTTATAACTTACCCAACTAAGGATCTGTTTGCCCACCACTTCTGTTTCGCAGTTAACTAAAAAGAAGCTCCGCTTGATCCTGTGTCCTATGTTCTTCAGAGGCTCAATCATCTTCCAGTGAGGTTCAGCCCTCAGCAGCATACTGGTTTGACGCAACGCTTCCTCTGAAATGGGGCAAAGTGTGGCTGCTTTAAATGGACAACGTTTTGATTAAAACATTAATGTTGGAAATTCTAACTCGATTATAATTAATCAACAAGTTATGTTTTCATATAACTAGATACAGAGATAGCCACAGTGTAAAGAGAAATATTTGAAATTAACAGTTGGGAGTACTAAAAATATACTTGGTTGAAGATTTACCTTCAAAGTTATCGTCGTAGTGAGAAGGATCTAGAAATTTCTTTACGTCAAGTGTACCAGATAGTAAGGTATTCTGCAGTACTACGTCCAGATAAACCTGAATAAGAATGTTTATGAATTATACTATTTATAACATTAACATCACAAACCATAGTTTTGCGATTATAAAGTTGCGAAATATAGACTCGGCAAATATAGACTTTGGCTTAATTTTACACGTGCACAGAGAAGGCACGTTTAAATATTTTTCGAAGCCAAAGCTTATATAATAAAATATGACAATTGACAAAATATGACAAATGACAATTGACAAAATATGGTGATTTCACTCAGAGGTTAGACTATCCACTTTGGTAATGGCTCCACTGGGACTTTGAAGCCTCTGATTGATTAAGCCAATTGAAGGTGATATTATGGTGATTTTGGATTTAGCCTACTCTTGTGTGGTATAAGATAATACAGTAAGCGGGAAATCGGGGGTTTGAGGTAAATCGGGGCGCGGTAAATCGGGGTATTACTGTACCAAGAGAGTATGGTTCACAGTACACCGTTAAAATGGTGCTTTGTCAAATGCCACTCCATTCCAGTTAATGGACCGAACTTATACGGTAATTAAATACTGTTAGGGTATGATGAATAACGATCCAGATTAAATTTAGAATAATATCTTATCACTGCTATGCTGGGCATAACTAGGATAACGTGCATGTTACAGGTCGGAGGATCCAGATCCCCGCCACGACCCAGACACCAGTACTTGACAATATCACACGCTTAATAGAGGGAGTAAGAATTCAATCAGTTGAACTTTTACACTTTAGGTAATATTCAGTGGTCATCAGAGACAAAAGTATCCCCAAATTTCCACATTCTTCATCAACCAAGAAACGTTGGTAATAAATAAATAACATATCAATTAAAACTACCCTCATGGAGGAATTTCGATTGAGATAACAGAGGTCGATAATAAAAAAGCAGTAATTAGATTTATCTAACCCACATACGCATAATTAATAACCATAAACATGCATCAAATTCGAATTGTCACGTATACCGCTGAGTGAAGCTGATAAATTGCCATACCTTGCGCACGTGAAATCAATTACCTGGGTCCTAGTAATTCCTTGATATTTTACTCAGGATTTACGTTTTGTAAATATGGTTTAGATAAGTTTTGGTGTGCAGCATAAGCTGTTTTTATTTTATTCCCTGCTTATAAGTTATAATACCACGTATCTCAATTTAATGAACAGTATTAACACTGACTAACATTACAGATCCTCTTCTTTCTGATTTTCAGTTCTGTTTTTAAACTTATTTACGTATTCTAATAATGTTTTTTGCTGATATGATGTTGCACGTTTAATGTCACACTCGAACTGTATAAACAAGATTTTAAACCTTGATAAATATTTAGATTGACTCTCCTACTAGCACCTCTAAGCAAGCCTAACGGAGTATCCTCTGCCACATTTCAGCAGTATCTAAACACGTTGTGATATGGAATTAGAAGCAGCCGAAGGTTCAGAACAACCCGCCCGGACGACAAACAAATCTGAAGAAGCAGAAGATAAGGTTAAAGAAGCCTGCAAATCTGGTTTAGCAGCGGTTGACTTTAAAAACCTGAAATGGACACGGAAAGACATCCATCTGACTGTTCTGTTCACCCTACTAATATTCGGAGATGCAGTGGAGATCTACCTCCCCGGAGTGATCACCCAGGCAGCTTCCAGCGAGTTGAAAGTGTCTAAAACCCAAGAGGGTCTACTCGGCATCATCCTCTATCTCTGTCTAGCTCTCTCTTACTTCGTCCTCCCAGCTATCAAGAAGAAGATAGGGAGGAGAGAGGCTCTTCTGGTATCTCTCTACACTTCCATAATAGCTACAGTATTCTGCTCTCTGGTTCCCAACTTCTGGACTCTCCTTATCTCCAGAGCCTTACTTGGTCTCTGTATCGGGCTGAACATGTCCATGCTGGGTCTTTACTTTACCGAGGAGGTCTCCAGTTATGATATGTATAATGTGGGCAAGTTGGTGGGACTGTTTTCTTTTACTCTTGGAGGAGGGTGGGTGGCAGTGCTGGCGTATTTCATTCTGGGACGAATGGGCTGGAGATACTTTATCATCTGTACTTCAGTACCGATCTTCATACCACCTATTTTTATCCTGCATTGTGTTTTAACAGAAGAGGTTGCGAAGCCCAGAGTGGGGCTTCAGTCGGAGGAGGAACCAGAAGTCATTGAAGTTAAAGGATTCTGGGGTCGTTTGATAAAGGGCTGTGTGGCAGATTTCATAAATACACTCCAGGGTTGGGGAAGTATATTACTGATACCCGCATTGCTCACTGTTTTAGATGAGCAGCAAAATAATCTCACCTTGGATCAGGAGCTTCTCATTCTTGCCCTTCTTTACGGGGGAGCCAAGATAGTCGGCAGGATTCTCAGTGTATTCCTTCTGAAGTACGTGAGTTTCCGAATCCTGCAGCCTTTGCTCTCTGTTATCATAGCATCCTGCTACCTGACTCTCATTTTTCTGAACGACAGCCTGGTTATCACAGTGGTTGCTATGGGGATAGCAAACATGTGTTTCTGTGTCACCCGATGTGAACTGACGCTCATGGAGTTTGATAAGCACTACTTTGGGACGGAGCGGTTAGTTCTGGGGGCGGGGGTGATGTCTGGATGCGCCATGATGGGCGCTGCAGTCGGTGCTATAGTAGCCTCGTTCCTGAGCAGTCACCAAGCTGTGATGGTTACCTTTGTGTTGAGCTGTATTCAAGTGGTTACATTCTGTTTCATCACAGAACGGTAGAACACTTATATGGAAGATTTGAACTAATAGAAAATTTATGCCAGTAGATTTTTGATTCGATATCAGATGGTGTTAATTGTATATTTTACTGTGTCTCTTACTGTGTAATGTGTATTAACATATTCGTAGTTAAAACGAGGCGAAAGTATGAACTCGTTCATTCCTAACACTAAACAGACCACAATTTAATTCTAAGTGCCCCTCACATATCTAATAGTTGATAGGGAATCTTGAGGTCTACCGTCTACACTGCCAAATTACCTAATTATGTTAAGACGTTAATGACAGACGTTAACACAGTCAACGTCTGTCTGGACAAACGACAATCAGCAGTTGATAGTAACCTTTGCGATTGACAGGAATCTTAAGACCGCGTCAGGTGCCCGGCAGTCAACGGAGAAGTCTGGTTCAAAGTTGATTACGGAAAAAGTCACTTCATTCACAAAATTGTGATCTACCAGGTTTCCATGTCTGACATTACTTAACTTCAAGAACAACAATTGGTGTGTGAGGACCCCTAGCTACTACAAATCTTGTAAAGATATTCAAGGAAAGGTAGATGTGTCAGTACTCAGTGTACCTAGGAGAAGAAAACCAAAAGTCCTGTGGAACCCTCCAACTATCATACGAACTAGAGCAGGCAGATCAGACCTACACCTTTTTCTGTGATGTTGAAGGGGATTCTATAAGACTTTCAAAGGAAAGTAAACAGATTTCTATCTTCGAGATAGTTGTGACCAGCTCACAAGGTGAGTAGTTAGATCTCAGGACTCTTTCCCATCCCTGACTCTTCCCTATCCCTTACTATTCACTTATCCCGACTCTTATCCTCGGACCTCGATCAAACTGAGATATCGCGCGCTAAATTTTGAGGTTTACCTGTAATTACATGTTAAACTGGATCTTTAGACGGCTGTAACTTTTTTGACCTTTCGATTCCTTAGTTGAGAAAACCGGCCACTCCCTGATCTTGAGGTTTGGTACAGTGGTTCCTTGGACAATCATCCTCATTTCTGATGCAGCGATTTTTTTTATTTGACTCGGTTCTCGAATTATGAGGTTAACCATGTCAAAAATTCGGAAAATTTAGCTGGTTAACCTCATAATTCGAGAAAAAAAATTCGGTCAAAAAATGTGTTTTGAGATAGAGGCAATTTAGTGTTAAATTCAAAATTTTGAATATTTACTGGAATGTATCACAGTTCGTTAGTTAGGACTTTCTATACACTTAACAACGTTTGCTTGATCAGATCTAGCCATCCCCTTAATGATTTTAGCCACTTTCAGTAGTTAATGTCCTTGTATTGTAAAAAATGAGGTTAACCAAGACTTCCTGTAAACACTTACTGCTTAAAAGTAGTAAAAATTGGTTGTTAACCTCGCTTAAGTATATATAATATAACACTGGGATTGGTTTATTAATATGTTATTATATATGTTGTAAAACATTTCCACAGTGTAACGATTAAGTTTTTGAGGTTAACATGTATTTGACTGGTCAGATATTCAAAAAATGAGAGATTAACCTCATTTTTTAGCCATCTACGGATAAAATCTTCTACTAAAACATGGTCAGTTCAAATCACTTTTGTCACGTGATTATAGTTGTAGGCGTTGTGATACCAATAGATACCTCACTGCGATATTGTGGTACATTACATAAGTAAGAATCGTATGTATATTCCCTACGGTACCAAAATGTGATGGTTAACCTCATTTTTTCATTTTCCCAAGATAAAAGAAAGTCAATCAACACGTCATCTATTTAGAAATGTGTATACCGTAAACTAACGATGAAAATAATAGCTCTATTATTTGATCTATTCTTGCTATATCTAAAAAAAGAGGTTAACCTCATTTAATCACGATTGGAAATTACTTTTTCTGATAATTATGAACCTAAAATTTATTGTTAACATTTGCTGACCGAAATAACAAAAAATTATGGAGTGTAATAAAATATTAACCTCAATTTCATCAAAAATTATATTGATTTAGAAAATAATATTTTTGTCGATGTTTTTGACCCCTTAACCCCCCCCCCCCCCCCCCCCCCCCCCCTCCCCTCTGGCCTTAATAGTCATACTTAATAGACAATCTTGAGGTCCCATGCCAAATTACCTAATTATATAGCAAATCTGTTATGAGGGGAGAGAGAGCGAGAGTGGGAGATAGGGAGAGTAAGTGAGACACTTTAGTATCACATTTGGGTCACAAAATCATCAATCAAACCACTTACCAACGACCGATTTGAAAAAGCTTAATCATTTGGCTTCGTCAGATTTT